GACTGCTTCCTGAGACCCTGGAGAGCAACTGGCAGTCTGAGTAGACAATACTGACCTTGATGGACCAACACACAGCTTTGTGTGTTCATGTGAAAGTGTTATGTGCCCTTGACCATTACAGATACTTATTGGAAGTCGGTTAGTAAAAGTTGTCCATTGACTATCCCAGGCAGTGTTATTGTTGCCTCTTATTCTGTGTCTGACCACAGAGGCACAGGATGGGTGGGGAAATGGGTGCCTCATCAAGGGGACATGGAAAACTGCCTGGCTGACTGTGTGAAAAGCAAATTAATAGAAGCGATTTGTGGAATGATACTTTGAGCTCAAGGGGGTTATAATGCTTCCAGGTATAATTGTGTTGGGGTTTAGTTTTTATAGCATAACTTGCCCTGAGTTGAGCAGATCAGAAATCTGAATACTAATAACATCTGTTATAGCCTGGCTGATCCTCATTTAACATACAGGATTCTGACTTGGAGGATGACACATTGATGACCAGATGTTAATCTTTGTTATGAATGTAATTCTACATTAAATAGTTACTGCTGAATTAGCGTTAAAAGTACAGTAGAACCCATGATAAGAGATAATGATGGTATTTTAGCAGGGCATGGAAGTTTTACTAGATAGCTTATTACTTTTTCCCCCAGCTTGATGCTAAAGTAGCACCTATCAATTAGTAGCAGAGCATCAGTGTTTAAGATAGTTTGGACTTAAATTGTGCACTGCCTTCAAAGTGAATTTGCATGGCTGCTTGAAAGAAATTGGCAATGGTACAGTTCTTTATCTATGGTTGATTTTTAACCTCCCTAGTACAATTCCCCCAAAAGAAGAATACTGTTTTTGGTGTGGTTGTTAAATGTCTCCAAACTAGACAGGGAGCTACACTATGCTTACTGCATAGTACTGCTACTAGGTGATGAGCGTCAAGTGACCACATACCTGGATGGCTGAATTTTTTTAATCAGGTTTTGATTTCACTGAATGGAACAAAATTCTGTCTTGCTCCAGCACAGCAAGTGTGCTGATCACAGTTGGGCAGCCTGGTTCTGAACAGTGAATAAGGTGAAATAGTCCAACTACAATGTTTTGCATGTCCTGTGTCTGCCCAGCACACACCCAGAGAACAATGTAAGCTGCTATCTATGCTATGGGTTCCATGGTCCCTGCCCTTTTTTCACAGTACAGCAAATGAAGCATGTGGATGTAATGGCTGTCCATTTCTGAAACGAAAGTTGGGCCCCTTTGCCAGCATGTAAGAATAGGTCCCTCCCACATATACACAGTAGCATTAGAATCTTTATATTTGGTCCTTTGAGCTATATTTTTTAAAAACTGGTTTGAAAATGGGATATAAATCCAATATCTTGGTGCATACATCAGGAACCCAGGATACTAAGTTATCTGTGGTTCAAACTCCTGTTCTATAAATACACATATGCAATGTGTATGTGTGTATAAATATGCACATGTATAAAATATACACTTATACAAATTTACCAATTCCATTTGCAAGGTGTGAGAATTTTGTTCAAGTTTTTATTTCCCTGCCATGTACATTCTATCAAGTTCCTCTATAGGTTAGTGATTAAATAAGAACTTGTAATCTTCATACTTCCTTCAGCTGACCATACTGGAAACTCCATCCTATTTTTGGAGCCAGTAACTCATGAGTCTGCATGAAATGTTCAAAAATAGAAATGGCCATAATTTATGAGTTACAAGATCCATTTGAGTCTCTCTATTCCCCTACAAGGATTAGCTACAAAGTTTATTGCAAGTTATGCTATAACTCTTAAATAAATGTGAGCCATAAATACCTTAACAAAAATGCACCCTGTTTTATATTTAAAATGTTTTAAACTTTGGTTCTAAGCTAGGACCTTTCAATATAAGCTTACTGTATTGAGTTTATATGATTCATCCTTATCTGTAACAAACAGCCTAGAAATAGTTGCTGTTCATCAGCTAGATGGATTACTTATGAGTTAGAAATACTGCCAAGTTGAAACACTGCTGGCTCAAAAAAGTGAACTATATTGGTTATTTACTAATACTTGCTAATACTACTTATTCTTAAGAACAGCTTGGATAGTTTGATATTGAGCCAGCCTTGCTGGGAGGGCGGGGTAAAAATCTAATAATAAATAATTAAATTATGTCACTTTTCAATTTCAGTGTGAAATTTATTCCATGAAATAGTCTATCTGAGAACATATGTCACAAAACTATAATTCCCAGTTCTGCACTGATGATCCCCACAATAAGAACCAGGAAGACTGGAGTAAATGTAACATTCACTGATGTGTCTAGAAAGCAGGCTGAAGACCTACTTGGGTGCCAAGGATGGAATTAAGTTTACTGGGAAGTCCCAGTGGTCGTATTTCACAGGGTATGCCTGCACTAATATTTGATTTTTAAGGAAATCTTGGCTCTGTAAAAAGACAACATAGTTCCCCAATAAAGTAAAATATAGTTAAATCTGCATTTCTGTTTTTCAACATATTTTTTGTTATTGATTAATCTGTAGATGGTAATGGGAATGACTGGACAAGGTAATAGCATCCTAATGCGTTGTATTGCACAATGTATGTACTGCATTGTGCAAACAAGGCCTAAATACTTATAAGGGTAATCGTGTCCATTTCCATTTCTCAGCTTGAGTTCTTAATGCACTTCATTTTTTTTATTGCTTGAATTTAAATGTCTGCCAGAATGGTCACATGTTCAACCCTATACATGATTATCAGCAGGGCTTTAAAAAGGGCGGGGGAGGAGGTGGTGGAACTCTTAAGAGAGAAATAGGTTTTCAATCTGTATACTGAAAACTCATGAGCTTTTAAACATTTTTAAAATAATTTTGTCAAAGAGGTTCCAGAACTCCATTTCAGTGCATATCCCCAGAAAAAAGCCCTTTCAGTGACTGAGGCAATGAAAAAAATGCTGAGGCAAAACATACAAAAGCCATCATGAACCATTTATAGATTTATTAGCATGCTAATAATGAAGCTTCCTAAAATTATCAGAGATGGGCTTGGAAGGATGTAACACTGGGATTCTACCATCAGTCAGTTAGATTCCCTGGAATATGGAGAGCAACAAAATATTTTGGTCTAGGACCTTCTGCTGTAGAGCAAGGATCCAAGCCTACAAAAGCCACAGTTCAACTGTTGAATAGATGGTTTTTGGTCCACAGAGCAAGAAGGGAAACAGTGGAGAAAGGAAAACAGTTACATTCTTTGTGACTTATTCTAAGGATCAGTTGTTGCTAGTAGTGTTGGTAGCCAAAACCCTTATTATTATTATTATTTAAAAAAAAAACAGTTAGTGTTTACTTTTGATATCGATAGGGCTTTTTTCTGGGGGAGTATGCCAGAATGGAATTCCAGAACCTCTTTGACAAAATTATTTTTAAAATGTTAAAAAGTTCACGAGTTTTCACTATACAGACTGAAAACTTCATTTCCCTCTTTCTGGCACCCCCCCTTTTTTTTAAAGCCTGGTCGATATTAATGCTATAATACAGCTAAAAATGTGCCAGCGTGGTACAGTGGTTAGAGTGGACCCAGTTGCAATTTCCCACTCTGCCATGGAAGTTTCCTGGGTGACCTAGTGCCGGTCAGACACTCTCAGCCTAACCTACCTGCCAGGGTTTCTGTGAGGATAAAACAGAGAAGAGAAGAATTATGTAAGCCGCTTTGGGTCCCCATAGGGAAGAAAAATGGAGTATGAATGAACTGAATAAATAGAAATGGGGTTCCTGAGAGATACTGCTCCATGGGTTAAGTGATCACACATACTGACATGTAGTAACATAAATTGCCTTTAATATGGCAAATGAAGAAGCCCTCTTTATCAAGACCACTTTTGCTTTCCTTCTGATACCATACATATATGTCTTTACACTGCAGATTTGAGTCTTCTTTTAGTCTTCCTGTACTTTTTAAAAATACAACAGTACAAAGGTGGCACGCAAGAACAGTTGTGTAGCTCTGCAGGCAGCAAAAGACCAGGAGGATTTGGGTCCCACCTCAGCCGATGCCAACTACTGAATTTTTCTGATCCTCTTTGCAAAAAAATATGTTTTATAAGTGAATTAAGTTTGTTAGATCGCGCTAACAAAGGACTCATAGAGTGATTCAGCAAGTGATTCAGCTTTATTGGAAGTAACGAACAAGCACTCAACTCAGTAAGAAACCAGAACAGAAAACAGTGGGAGCTTATGCTCCTTTTAAACATAACCGGGCTAATGTAGCCACGCCTATTTACATTTAACAACCAATGAGATTGCTTGGTTAAGGACCAATGGGAGTCTTTCCCTCCTAGGGAATGGTATCGTTCTGATTGGTCGCTGTTACGAAGCGACCAATAGGAAGTTCGCTCAGAGGAGCCCTGGTCTGGCTCGAAGCTTAACATAGGAGTCCTATGAGGTGATTCATGTAATCGTTTCAATACATTACAATTCCTCCCCCCTAAGTTAAGTCATCATCCCATTTGTTTTATTATTTACATACATTCAAGTCATGCTGTTGTACATCAACTGTTCCATAATACTTTATTACAATCGTAGTCTTTTAGATAAGTCGGCATCTGCCGCGTACGCTGAGACCTGCGAAGCGGTGCAGGCTCTATGGGCACACAAGGTTGAGAGTCACTGTGGGGTTCACTACAGCCTGGTTCAGGCACAAACTCTACTGGGGTTTCAGCCCCGCACACAGGGTTCTGCCCTGACTCGGGGACAGTACCGGGCCTTTCGGTACTCACCGCCTGCTCTGGAGGTCTCCACTCAACATCAGGGAATCGGAGTGATCGTCAGTTAGATCCGGATGTAACCTGTTTAAGCAGGTTGTGAGTCTGCGTCCCATTAACAATTCGGCCGGACTACGGCCTGTAGAACTGCAAGGGGTGGTATGCTGCCGCAAGAGGAAAGCACCCAGCCTTTGGCTCCAGTCACCTTCGTTCATTTTCCCTAGGGCCTCTTTTGCCGTCCTTACCATCCGTTCGGCCTGGCCATTAGATGCCGGATGGAAGGGGGCCGAAGTCATTTGGCGGATGCCATTACTCGTGAGGAACTGCTTAAACTCCTCAGAGACAAATTGAGGCCCGTTGTCACTGACGAGGACGTCAGGCAACCCGTGCGTGGCGAAAAGATGGCGGAGCGCATGGATCACGGCTAGTGAAGTGGTTGTTTTCATGCGCACAACCTCTAACCATTTAGACATTGCATCCACTACTATGAGAAACATGTTCCCCTGGAACGGGCCAGCGAAATCCAGATGCAATCTGGCCCAGGGTTTCCCTGAAGACTCCCACCTCTGAGGCGGAGCTTGTGGGGGTTCCGGCCTGACTTGCTGACACTGGGAACACACGCGAACCCAATCCTCAATCTCTTTATCCAGCCCAGGCCACCAGACATACCCCCTGGCCAACGCTTTGGTGTGCACCATTCCAGGGTGCCCCTCGTGCAGAGATTCTAGAACTCTGTTCCTGAGCTTGTCAGGGACCACCACCCTGTTGCCCCATAAAACACAGCCCTTAGAAATGGACAGTTCACTTTGGCGGCATTTGTAGGGTCCAAATTCAGGTTCAACACTCCCAACTGGCCACCCCCTCCAAACCCAGTTTAAAACACGGGACAGCACGCTATCTTTAGCCGTGTGTGCAGCAATGTCCCTGGACGATACAGGAGCCTGAGGGAGTTCGTCCAGTGCCAAGACCTCACAAGCAGGAGCAGGGTCGGGTCCCGCACAGGGCAATGGGCAGCGGCTGAGGGCGTCCGCATGTCCGATTGCCTTCCCAGGCCGGTGTTCAAGGTCATAATCGTACGCCTGCAAAAAGAGCGCCCATCTAAGCATGCGCGGGGACATGATATTCGGCAGTTGCTTATCGGGTGCAAAAATCCCCAGTAGCGGCTTTTGGTCAGTGACCAGCAAAAATCGCCTGCCAAAAATAAAGTCATGGAACTTTTTGACAGCCGCTACTAAAGCCAGACCCTCCTTGTCAATCTGGGCATAGTTCCTTTCTGCCTCAGAAAGAGATCTTGAGTAAAAAGCGATTGGCGCCTCGCTCCCATCAGGCATCAGGTGGCTCAAAACCGCGCCAATTCCAAACGGTGAAGCGTCCGCAGCTAACACCAGGAGCTTCTGGTCATCATAATGCGTCAGCACGTCATTAGACACCAACAGCTCCTTAACCCCCACGAAAGCCCTTTCTTCGGCCTGTCCCCACTTCCATTTCGCCTCCTTATGCAAAAGTGCGTGCAAAGGGGCCGCCACTGATGCCTTATGCGGTAAAAACGCATGATAAAAATTGAGGAGTCCTAAAAATGATTGGAGCTCCTTCTTACTCACCGGCCTGGGGGCGTCTCGGATTGCAGTCACCTTGTCAGTAGTGGGGTGCACCCCGTCTGCATCAATCCTGAACCCCAAGAACTCTACACTGCTAACTCCCAGTGTACATTTTGAACGTTTTACTCTGAGCCCAGCGTTTTGGAAACGCTTCAAGACCTCCTTCACCCGGTCCATCAACTCATTTTCAGACCTCCCCGCAATTAACACGTCGTCGAAGTAGGGCACCGTCCCTGGTACCCCCCTCAAGAGTTGCTCCATCAGGCCCTGAAAGATGCCGGGCGCCACATTTACCCCGAACTGTAGGCGATTCACCTTAAAAGCCCCCCTATGGGTAACAATAGTCTGAGCCTCTGCAGCCTCAGGAGTGACAGGCAACTGCTGGTATGCCTGTGCCAAGTCTAATTTGGCAAAGATCTTTCCGCCCCCCAATGAAGCCAGGATGTGGCTAATAACCGGGACGGGATAGGAGTGTTGTTGTAACGCCTTGTTAAGGGTGCATTTATAGTCTGCGCATAAGCGTATGGACCCATCAGGCTTAACTGGTGTTACTATAGGCGTCTCCCACTTGCTGTGAGGAACAGGTTCCAAAATTCCTTGTTCCACGAGTTTATCAATTTCCCTCTCTACTTTAGGCCTGAGGGGAATTGGAACCTTCCGATATTTCAGTCTGATCGGCTTTACAGATGGGTCAAGTTCAAAAGCAACCGGGGGCCCTTTGTACCGCCCCAGACCCTCTGCAAACACATCAGGGAACAGGTCATACATCATATCCCATTTATTCTCAAGCAATTTGTTAATCCCTGAAATACCAATGCCCAATGGCTCAAACCAGTCCAACCCCAGCAGGTTGACCCGGTCTCCCTCAGCAATAAGACATGACAGTTTAACACATTTCCCCTTATACTCAACATGTACAGTGTCTCTTCCGGCCAGGGGAATCCGGTTGCCCTGGAAGTCGGACACTCTGGTCTCCGCAGGCTGGAGCCGCCGTCTGCTTCTGGTCGGAAACAGCTGTTGCCAGGATGCCGTAGAAATCACCGTCACAGAAGAGCCGGAGTCCACCTCCATCGTGCATGGTCTGCCGTCGAGGAGTGGGGTTACGGTGATCTTTCCCTGGCAACTGGTGCGATTGATGACTGATGCGCTCGTCAGGGATGCTGTCATCGAATAGCTCGCTTCTGGTGCTGAAGATTGCAGCTTTCCTCGGGCGTTGGGTGGTGTGGTCTTCTGTGCCGTCCTGCTGTTGGATATAGGGTCCTTCTGCGCCGACCTGCAGACTCTGGCGAGGTGTCCACGCCGCCCACACGCTCTGCAGTCGACATCACGAGCCCAACAGGAGTCGCGCTGGTGTTTCCCGCCACAACCGGAGCAAGGCTTGACGTTGGTAGTCTTCGCTGGGGTCCGCTTGCCTCGAACCGCGTTGACGTCATCATCCGCGTCTTCGCCCTCGCTGTCTCGTTGAGCGTGTATACTGGGCTCTGCCACCCGCTGGCGGACCTCCTTCGTGGACCTATCCGCTGCTTCTGCGGCCAAGGCCTCTTCGTAGGCCACTGCCCAGGTCAGAGTGGTACGGGCGAACAGCCTTTGTTGTAGCTTCTCGTCTCTGAGGCCGCACACAAGACGGTCTCGGAGGGCTTCTTCCACGTCATGGAAGTTGCACGGCCGTGCAGCTTTGCGAAGGGCCGCCACGAATTCCGCGATGGTCTCGCCTCCGGCCTGGCTCCGCTTGTAAAACGCGTGCCGGCAGGCGATCTCCGACGGTTGTGGAGAATAGTGAGCCTTAAGCTTCTCAGTGATGTCAGCGTAGGTGACAGTCTTTATATTAGTTGGGGCCACCAACGACCTGGCTATGTCGAAGGTCCCCTTCCCGCAGGAACTCAGGAGGCACGCCCGTTTCTTGGCCTCGTCTGTAATGTCGTGTGTCTCCAGATGGAACTCGAACCTGGATAGGTAGGAGTCCCAGTCTTCTGAGGAGGGTTCGAAGCACTCGAACTTCTGGCTTCCAGCCATCGTGGGAGACTTGGGCACCGGAGCTGGTGGCGCCTCCGCTGGATCGGCTGCTGTGCTTTGCCCGCTTTCTTCCGAGTCCGAAGTGTGGATGTCTGCAGGGCTGCCTACCTGCTCTAACATCCCATCCTCGTCGCCAATTGTTAGATCGCGCTAACAAAGGACTCATAGAGTGATTCAGCAAGTGATTCAGCTTTATTGGAAGTAACGAACAAGCACTCAACTCAGTAAGAAACCAGAACAGAAAACAGTGGGAGCTTATGCTCCTTTTAAACATAACCGGGCTAATGTAGCCACGCCTATTTACATTTAACAACCAATGAGATTGCTTGGTTAAGGACCAATGGGAGTCTTTCCCTCCTAGGGAATGGTATCGTTCTGATTGGTCGCTGTTACGAAGCGACCAATAGGAAGTTCGCTCAGAGGAGCCCTGGTCTGGCTCGAAGCTTAACATAGGAGTCCTATGAGGTGATTCATGTAATCGTTTCAATACATTACAAAGTTCCTCAACAAATTGGCCACAGATGCATGTTTGCACCTATAGCTTTAAGTGAGCCCTGAAGAACTAGTTTCTGTTCCCCCCTCAAGGCCTGTGTAGGAGGGGCCTCACTTTGGTTTGGCTGTAGTGTGTTAGTGTTCTCTTTCTGTTGGAGACAATGAAGTGGACCTTTTGTTGAGTGTGATAAGGCCTCCTGTGTTTTGGCTACAGAGCAGGACTTAAAGAGTGAACTGAAGGAGGATAGGTAAGTTCACCACTACCCACCAACACACCTCAAAGAATACCACACTATTACTTATAGTATCCAAAGCTCAGTAGTAATACTTGCCAGATCATGTAATTATTAACATATATAACATCTGTTTATAAGAATACATATAACTAAAAGAGAGGGGAGAAGAAGGAATAATGTCCAAAAAGAAATAAATTTCTACCTCAAAAATAATTCTTCTGATTTTAAATGTTTTTGTCAATACTTTGCTGAGAACTCTTGCTATTTAAATCCCCATTCACACATTACAGTGAACACATGTACAGCCTACCTGTACCTGTATACAGCTGTTTGTAAGAAAGAGCCAATGTGTGTTCACTTTACAAAGAAAACTGGGTACCTGGATGTATATGGGGTTTCAGTCACATGTTAATCCATATGTGCACTGAATCACATGTTCATTCATATGTGCACTGAGTGTAAATTGAGAATTACTCAATGCATATATAAAGAAAAACCAAGTGTACACTGTACATGGATTGTATATACAATCTCTGTAACTTGTGAGTAGGGTAGGGTTGGTATCCTACAAGATAATGACTCAGCCCTACCTCACCTTCCTGAATAGATATAAATTACCTGCCTACCATTTTTCTTCTCACCTTGACACAAAGAGCACTCCATCTTTCTGTGTTATACCTCTGATGATGCCAGTCACAGCTGCTGGCGAAACGTCAGGTCCTACAATGCCAAGACCACGGCCATACAGCCTGGAAAATCTACAACAACCATACCTAGTTGTTTATAAAGCTTAACTTTCCAATTAGCTGTGTTGGCATAAAGTTGTCCCCCCCCCCCCCCCCTGTATGAGAGAAGGTTAATTAGTATTTTAAAAAACCAGGGCATTTTCTCTCAAGGATATGATTAATTTCCCTTGCTGGCTGTGTTCAACATCGTCTTTAAAACCAACTTGAGGGTGGGCTGCTTATTCGAATTAGTCTTGCTTCTGCAAGATTTCAAAGCTACATACATTTGAAAGTCTGTGCTGAATTCTCGGTGAGATTCAGTTCTGAACGAAAATGCATGGTTTAGGGTCCCGACTGATCGATATTTCCATGTGGTATAGTAACACTTCTACGTGCCCCAGAAGTTGTTCACCTTTACTTCCAATAATGGTTAAGACATTTGAGAAATGTTGACTGTATGTCACATCTAATCGTGGCGTATTTGGGAACAGTAGACAGAAATGAAGTTTTTCCGGTTCCAGAGTTTTCTAGATTTTGTTGAGCTACAGCGTTAGCGGAAGCAACTCTGTATAGAGAAAACAGCAACATTTGTATATAGTCCCTTCGATAGCTCAGCTGGTAGAGCGGAGGACTGTAGAGGTGCGGCTACAAAATGGGAATCCTTAGGTCGCTGGTTCGATTCCGGCTCGAAGGAGACATAATTTTATTTTAGACTAATGCTCATGTTTATCTTTGGTGTTGCTTCCTACTCTTCTGTGGACCCTCTCTCATAATTTTACTGGAATTGGCTCTTTACTATAGGCACAATTTCTCCTAAGGGACTGGATACGAGAGAGAGACGATTTATGTGAGACCAGCAGGCGGAGTACCTGAAGAACTTAAAGGGAAGTTCGCTTTCTTTCTAAAAACGACGAAAAGGCGGAGTAACAGTTGACACAGCTCTAAGGAGCACCGCGTTCATTTACAGACTTCGCTCGCAGACGTTAAAAAACAGACCTTCGCCCTCCCCACAAAACGTGGAAGGAGGAAAACTCTCTTTCCCAGTATACCTTGCGCTTTAGCCCGCCCTCTGCTCTGCCTCATCTAGCCAATATCCCGCCACCTTTCTTTCCTTACTGGCCGTTCCCCTTCTTCTCTCGCACCGCCCCCCTGCTTGGCCGCGTGCTGTCTGCAACAGCCAATGGGATGCCAGTCCGCGTGCGCAGATTCAAACGGTGGCTTTGGAAAAAGGCTGGGCGCGAGATTCGGCGGCAGGGTCTAAGAAGAAGGAGAAAAGTCGCCCGTCCAGCGAGTGTGGCGGCGCTCACAGGGAGCCGCCGGAGAACCGAGCAGTGACATCGCAGCGGGGCCAACGGGGGGACGACGCAGACGCCGGGCCCTTCCCGATCCTTCCCCCAACAGCAAGGGCTGGGTTAGTGCCATCATGTCCCCCGTTCGGGGGGCCAGGCGCGGCCGCGGCTAAAGCGCCGGACTCGCTTCCCGGGCACTGCCGGCCCCGCCTGCTCGAGAGCCTTCGGGCGGCGATCTCTCCGCTCCCCCTTCCTCGCCTTATGGTGCGCGCCGAGGATGGCGAAGAGGCCGCGCAGGTGAGTGGGCGCCCGGATACTTCCGAGCATCTCCTGGCTGGCTCCTGCCCGTCTCCACGAGGAGAACTCGGCCCAGCCCTCCTGACAACCCCCGCTTGTCATCGGGCCAGTTCCTCTCCCCTCAGGAACCCTCCCTTGGCCTCTGCGGCTGCCGGTCCTTCCCCGGGGCCAGTTCCCGGTTTTCGTGACGGCGACCTACTACTCGCCCCTTTCTCCCTCTGCTGCACTTGCCCCACCACCACCACCACCACGACGCCCATTCCTTCCCCCTTTGGAAACTGACCCGCCCTCCTTTCCCTGCCGTCCCACTTTTGCGTTTGGTGATGTGCGAGTACTGAATCGGCTTCCTTTTTGGGGGAAATCAAGCTGTCTTGTCACGGCAGTGTTTCCCTGGAGGTTTTCTTCCTAGGTCGCTATTCTTCCTGGACATGGGGACGCATATGAGAGAGAATAGGGGGTTATTTGTAAACTGATGCGAGATTTGCCTTAGTGCTGCGTTTTCTTGCTTTAGTGGACACGGTGGAAATAATGATTGTTGTTCTGTGGGGAGATGGCAACAGAGAAGGAAAGGCAAGGAGCCTCTTTTTGGCTGTCAGTGACTGAAAGACTTGAAAGGAAAAACCAGACTAGCACCTTAAGATGTGTAGTGTTGGGAGGGGGGGAGGTTAGGTGAGGGTATCAACCTTGGACCTGGTAGAATTGTTCTTCCTCTCTTGTATCAGTCCAGCATTAAGGAGAGATTCAGGCAGCGGGTATTTTTTTAATTGTTTGAAACTTGATTCACTTTTTGTACTTTGGCAACTAGGTTTTTTGAATTGCTAGTGTACAGCTGCATAAATACATGTACAGATAAATCTAATTTGAATTGCGCTTTACTAAACATGTCATCAGCTAGTTTTTAGAGTCTCGATCTTATGCTTTGTCACAGTGGCAAAAACTCTCATTGAAATCAGTGGAATTTACTTTCCAGTAAAATATGGATATGATCCTCGTATGAAGGGCTTCTTGAATTTAAATATGGATGTGTAAAATGGAGCATGCATAGCATAAATTTTGTGGCTAGTAGGAATATTCTGATGGGGTGCATGTTTATCATTCAGTTCTAAAGATGCATGGCTTATTGCTGTCTGTACAACACAGGAATGTAGTCACTGATCAGTGGTCCTAAGGGGATGGCATTTCATTTGCAAGTAGTTGATATGGAGTAGCATAAATAATATGATGTCATTGCACAAGTATTGGAAATTATGTTTAATGTAATGGGCTTAGAAAAAGTAAAAGCAACAGAGATGGCTAGTGTGTATTATAAAGAATTATAAATGGCATAATTCTATATATTACATTAGTTCTTTATTCCTAAGCATTCTGTATTATCATAACTTATTTATATTATTTGTTAGTATCATGGCTTGCAATGAAGCTACACTTAATATAATTTAAAAGGCACTAATTTACTTACTGTAAACAGGTAGCTATCACAGTACACACAAACCAGTTCTCTGACAAGCATTAAAGCTCTTACTCTAGCTGTCTCTAGATGGTTATCCATATGCCTTTTACCTATATTACCTTACAATTCATATATACTGTCAAGTGTCCAAAATGTTTTTATAGAACATCCTTTAGCAAGCCTTTTTAAAAAGCTGATGTTATAAAAATTTAAATATTTAAGTAAGGTTTGAAAGCTGCTCTTTCTAAAAATAATTAGTTATCATAATTTTGGCCTTTGATGAAAATCCCCCACCCCATATTTTGATAGGGAAAAAATACCCAAATTTCTTCCTTAGCTAATACAGTCTTTGAAAGTGTTACTATGTAGTAACTTGTGAATATGGTTGATACTGAGTACTGTTGAATCAAAGATTCTTGTAGGTTTGACTGTTTTACTAATGTTAGACTTGAAACACAAATGGGTGATATAAAACAGTTATAGGTTTTGGAAGTAACAATGGGAATTTTCTGTGAAATAACTATGACAGCTCCATGTATGTGAAATATAATGCAAGCCTGCATTATATGGCACACCATCTTGCTTAATAATCACTGTGTGCACTTTGACTTGAAATTGTTGATTGTTTTAAATGTGTTAAAGGTTTTAATGTTTTAAATGTTTTAAATGTGTATATGAATCCTGGCACATTGTGCCAAGCAATGTGAGCTGCCCTGAGCCCGCTTGCGGAGAGGGTGGGCTATAAATGCTACAAATAAGAAAATAAATGTATACAGATGAAAGAAAGAAATAAAATAATTGATAGAAACATACAAAAGTATTTCATTAAGCCAGCAGGTGGCGCTTGCCTCTCAAGGCAAACAAAGGTCGCAGTTTGCTCACTAGATTCAGAGGGGTAGCTGTGTTGGTCTGAAGCAATACGTGAAGTTTGAGTCCAGTGGCACCTTTAATACCAACAAAGTTTAATTCTGGTTCTAAGCTTTCATGAGCCTGCACACTTCATCAGATCTGTTGAAATGTGCGTGCACACAAAAGTTTATACCCAGAATTAAACTTTGTTGGTCTTAAAGGTGCCACTGGACTCAAACTTCATTTGCTCATTGTTTAATTTCTTTAATAAACTGTGACAAAAAGAATGATGTAATTGGAAGACTGCATTCCAGCATTCTGTTTTTCTTGGACACATCATGTTCACCTAGGGGGAAAAGAGTTTACCCTTTCCCACCTCACTTCTATGAAATTATGTCCATGGAGGAAAAGGAATGTTGCAAGTGAAGTGGCCTGGAGGGTTGATTTGCCTGTCTCTCTCTCTCTCTCTCTCTCTGTGGTGTTCCATTAACAACCTTTTTAAAAAATACAGCAAGAAGTGAGCCTTCGTGTTATGCTGAGAAATTTACATACTGTTTCAGATGGGTTCTTGGATATTTCACAACTCTACATTTTGATCCAGTTTTATTGTTTTTTGCTGATTAATTTAGCTAGACTTTGTGATGGATGAAGGTAATACAGTAATTTTAAAACCAGCAGAGGGTTTTCAGTGACAAATATGGTGGTTGTGTCTCCATATCCAATGAGCTGTTATGAATGCATAGTTTCACTGTCAATGTTAACTTAATAATAGCTTGCACTTTGCAGTGAGGAAGATGATGATGACCTTCACTATGCAGATCATGACTATGAAGTACCACAACAAAAAGGCATAAAGAAGATTTGTAATAGAGTAAAATGGACACGTGATGAGGTGAGCCTTAACTGATTGAGGGTTTTCCTTCTATCTGGATCTGACATCATATGGTTATTACAGGTTTTTATTTTGTTCTAAATTGTGCCTTAACAGGATGAAAAGCTGAAAAAATTAGTGGAACAGCATGGGACGAGTGATTGGACATTCATTGCTAGTCATCTACAAGTGAGTGAAAATTCAACCAGGTTCAGACATACATGAAATAGCCTCATGCCCTCTCTCCATTTCTCCTTCTTGTTTTGTGGCATAGTTCAGTCTTTGAAGGTGAACTATAGTTTGGGTGACCCAAGCCACAGTGTGGAAGATCTTTTCAATAAATGTATGTGTTCAAACTTTAGTTCTCCACCAGCTGTTTTGATTTAGCAAAGATGTGCAACAAACATTCCCCCCCTTCTTCTGCAGAATCGTTCTGATTTTCAGTGCCAGCATCGATGGCAGAAAGTCCTAAACCCAGAACTGATTAAAGGTCCTTGGACTAAGGAAGAGGATCAGCGGGTAAATAATTTACATTGTTCTAGAATAATGATTTTTTAAAAAATAGTGCAGTAAGGTCACCCAATATTACATCATCCTGTTTTGCCTTATGGCTGTCTCAGACTTGGGAGGTTTATAAATGTATAAAACAAGCAAACATTTGTATTCATATTATTGTGTACTTAAAAATTCTGTTGGCCAAATATGATAAATGTGACTGTGAAGCTTTGCTTCTTTAGTAGAACTGTCCCCGCTTTTTCTGACAGGCTAACTTGAACACTGCCTCTGATTAATTTGCATTCTAGGTTATTGAACTTGTTCAGAAATACGGTCCAAAGCGCTGGTCTTTGATTGCAAAGCACTTAAAGGGAAGAATAGGGAAGCAGTGTCGAGAAAGGTGGCATAACCATCTTAATCCAGAGGTTAAAAAGTCTTCATGGACTGAAGAGGAGGATAGAATCATCTATGAAGCTCACAAACGTTTGGGAAACCGGTGGGCTGAAATAGCAAAACTACTTCCTGGAAGGTATTTTTGAATTTACCACTGTATACTGTACATGCAAATTGCAGATTATTTCTAGCTTTGTGAAGCTTATAACCAAATACTCTTAATGCCATAGAATTGTGCAGCAGTCATTCTGCATCTTAAGTATTTACTGTTATATATTTTCACATCCTTGCTGTTACGACATGCAAATATCGTTGCATCACCTAGCCACATCCTGGTGGCTTGAAATAGACTGAGAGGTGTTCAGTAGATCAGCTGCCCTGTTGTCTCTTACCTTCAGCAGACAGCATGAAAACATCTGAGTTCTTGCTTCTTCAGGTGTCTGGCATGTGGCCTTCCTGACACAAACTGTTCCGGTGTGAATTGCATTATGACTCCCCCGCCCCCCACTTGCATGATATGCAGCCTGACCTCACTTCTGATGCAGGAATAGGGTATCCATTATTTATCTAGTTAGTTTATACCTTGCCTTTCTCCCAATGAGGACGAAAACAGCTTACATCATTCTCTTCACCTACATTTTATCCGCACAACAACCCTGTGAGGTAGGTTAAGCTGAACGTGTGTAACTGGCCCAAGGTCACCAAGGAAACTTCCATGGCAGAGTAGTGTGTCTCTCAGATCCTCATCGGATCCTCTAACCACTATACCTCACTGGCTTTCAGATCACGTCAGCTACTCTTTAGGATGAAATGACAATAAATAGCCAAGAAATATGACTTTCCAGTGGATTTTTCAGGATTTGTCAATTCAAAGGTTATGAGCTGTGTACATTCTCTATATCTTTTTTTAAGTCTTCCTCCCTTGTCTACAATTCACCTTTCATTTGGGGTTATTTTTGTATCTGGATTACAGAGATTATCTTCAACTAGCTGTTTCTTGGAGTTGCATGGTATGATTCAGAAACTGAAGTGGGGTTGTATGTAGGAACAGTAAAATCCAAGTGGTCTGTATGTGAATGAATATAACAAACCATATTATGGATATTACAGCTCTGCTCTTATTACTCTTGTACAGTGAAGTGTTTGCAAATAAGCCTTGAGCAGAAACAGAAAGTTTTAGTACTATTTTCTTAACTGTTTTATTGGTTAATGAGACCAAATGCATACTAGACTATTTCCTGCATATTATGATTGTGAGCTACTTGTTGATATTTGCTTGTTCCATTGACTAATGTGAGGAAAGTACATTATTATTATTATTACATTACATTTATATACCGCTCCTCCCCGAAGGCTACATTATATTATCACTTTAAAAAGTCTAAATGTATATTACTCATTTGCAAATAGGTGTTTGAAGTTTTTAAGTAGTTGTTAATGTCAGGTATTTATGTAATAGACATTCCTGTTAATCCAAAGAAAATGAAACTAGCTCTTGGAATGTAAGAAAGCCTGAGTGGGATTAATTTTTTTAAAAAATTTAACAGTAGTCATCTTGCCACATAGCAACCTCTTTTTGAAGTTGAGGGGACTTTCACAAGCATCTTTTATACAGCTCAGTTAGCAAAAAAGTGAAAAATACATCTACCTGTGCAGGTTTCTATGAAGAATTTTCTCTTTTTTTGTGATAGAAAACCGGTACTTTATTTGCTAAAATTCTCACACTATTTATTCAGAAATATCTGGAACAATTTTTCTTCAATCTGGGCAAGTATCATAATGTGCTTTCTATCTGTATAAAAATGGATGCATCCCACTCCTGTTTCTACCATGAGTAAATTACATAGTTAAATTCCCAGGTCTAATCAATGTAATTTTTAGATTTTGGGCACAATCCAGCCAAATTGAAGCACTTTTTTGTCCCTTTGATTTTAACTTTCATCCTTGTTCCTATGCATGTCTACTGAGAAGTCCCACTGTTATCAAAGTGCCTTGCTGCCAGATAATTGTGCAGGATTAAATCCTTTAGGATTTAGGAGCTGTGGTGGCTCAAGTGGTTAAGACGCTGAACTGCAGGCTGTGGAAGGTCAGTAGTTCAGCAGTTCGAGACCCGGGTGCCGCATGATGGAGTGAGCTCTCATCTCTAGTTCCAGCTCCTGCCAACCTAGCAGTTCGAAAGCAAGAAATTGCAAGTAGATAAATAGGTACCACTTCGGTGGGAAGGTAACAGCGTTCCGTGCACCTTGGTGTTTAGTCATGCCGGCCACATGACCACAGAAACGTCTTCGAACAGCGCTGGCTCTTCGGCTTTGAAACGGGGATGAGCACCGCAACTCTAGAGTCGGATTCGACTGGCTTTCGAGCAAGGGAACCGTTACCTTTTTAAATACTTTAACATACAATCAACTTTCTCCTATTGAAGTCAGTATGACATTTTAAATTTTGAATTGGTCATGTTCTGTAATTTCTTTAGGACTGATAATTCAATAAAAAATCATTGGAACTCGACGATGAGAAGAAAAGTTGAACAAGAAGGATATTTGCAAGATGGAATCAAGACAGAACGACCTTCTTCATCAAAACTGCCACACAAAACTTGCTCTTCTAATGATCATCTTCATACCCAGAATCAGTTTTATATACCAGTTCAGGCACATGTAAGTTCTCCAAAGATTTTTTTTGTTTATATAAAAAACTTAATGAAAATGGGTAAAAGGTGAATTTGTTATTTATACTGAAAGAATACAGTAGAAAAAATATTTTGTTAGGAGGATTGTTAAAAAACCAGGTTCTTAAAGCAAATACTGTGATTAATGTAAATGTAAATTCCTGAAAGTAGCAATGTGGGAAATTCCTGTAAGTAGCAATGTGGAAAGTATATGCATTGCTTAAAACACAGTACAGCCCTACAGATTGTGGTGACATATTGATTGTAGCTTTCTGACCTAAAGAGTCAAAATGTTTTCAAAACTCTACAGCTGACATGTTTGTTTGATACTTTTTAAAAAAAACCTTACTTTGGCATATCATCACGGGGCTCTGTCTTTTTAGAAGTTTGGTGTTTGGGATATATTTTTGGTTTAGTAATTTATTGACCTGGGTGTTCATGTTATGGGTCAAAAGATGATCCATAAAAAAAAATAAGAGTGTGAAAATGTAGTGTGCTACAATTTAAAAATGCATAAGAAAATTATCAAAAGAAAGTAAAAAGAACAATTATGACTTGTTAGATTCCAGGGTACCAGTACATGTCAATAGAAGGCAACTGCATAGACCATATTCCGACTTCTTCCAACTTTATTCAGGTAACTTTCTGTCTATTTTACTGACTTTCCAAATGTAAAAAAATAAATAAATCACAGAACATTCATTGTAGCTAGAGAATGGCAAAATGTATTACAATTTAAAGGTTTTGTCTAAAAGTATTCTGTCCAGCCTTCTACAGCCAGGTCACAGTCCATTGGTAATATCTGCACCAGTGTCACTGAAATGGGTAGCAGTATTGTGCAGGAGATATCTGGGATGGGGGCATGGCATGCCCCAAACAATTTATCACCATTATTGTTTCTAATTCCGAACTTGGTCCCATGGTACAAGTAAAAAACATCTACACAGTGGGATCACATACAAATGTGGGAGACATTTTTACAAACTTGGGGAAATCCCCAGATTTGCAGAAAAATCGGAAAAGTTTAAAAAGTGGGTCTAAACTCCCACCCCAAACAGTAGAAGTGTCGTTTGTGCATGCTGAAATAGTGTTGATGTTAACAGAGTGAGTGCTCACCAGTGACCATGGAAAATGGTTAAGGGGTATTGAGGAACTAACATGTTTGATAGAAAGGTGAGAGACAGAGCTAGAGTTCTCTCTATATTGGTAGCTGGGAGAGAGTTCTGCTCTGTGGAACTTCTAAGAAGAAGCAGGATAGAGACCTAAGAGAAACATTCTGGAGGCAGGTAAGGAATGACACTTATTTGGATGGCAAAAGTGCTGACCCTCACTAACTGACTTTCCCTTTGCTGTCCCTGTCAGGGGGCTGCTTATCTTTTGTGCACCAAATATTGCTTACAACAACAGCTGAAGTAGAAAAAAGTTGGGTAGCATTTGACATTGTTAGAGCAACCCTAAATGATGGCTGACAATACGAGGAGGGGAGTGGGAAGAGAAGGGGAAGATAAAGAGAAACTGCAGTGGCTGGGGCCAAATTTGCATAGTCAATTTATTCAGCAAGCTGGGGAGGAATGGGGGGGGGAAAGTATCTGGAAGGGGCAGGAAGTGGGAGTGGAGGGCAGGCCAGTGGGCTTCCTCTGGTGATAGAGCAAACAGAAGGGAAAGTGGGAGCAGGGGAAGGGGCTCAAACGTGAGCTCCCACAAGTCCACATTTTTCAGTAATTCTTGGTGGCTGGTGAGACAGCCCCAGTAGCTTCCACTCACTAACCATCAAGGGTAGCTGCAGTGGTGGAAACAGTCCCAGATGTTAAGAAAATCCAGCAGCTGCATTCTCATATCCCTAAGAAAGAGTGGAATGTTTCAAAGCAGGTTTGTTTCAGATTGTCTGAGGACAGTTGCAAATGTGGGACTATTCTCAGCAACCCCCTGAAAAACTGATGTGAAATGATCATGGAAGCCTACTAGACAAAATATTGTAGGGTATGGGCATTGCAGTGAGAAGAGAAAACTGGGTGAACGTTATCTGTCCTCTGCTGGCAGAGCTTCTGCTTGTGGAAGAGGGAGGTGGGTGTGAGCACCCAGTTTCATGACTTCATTATAGCTCCCTTTGCCTTGTGGCATTTTGACCCATAAGGTTCTCAGCACCAGCTTTTTAGAAATCTCAGAGCTGCTGGAGGAAGCAAGAAATTGGAAAAATCATTATTTGTGAAGTACCATTCACTTGTGGTTTGTAGGATTCAATGCGTGGTAGTTACTTAGTGAATTTATTAGGATTTGCAGCCTCAATCTGAAATGGTTTAAATAGCTGTGGTCCAAATCAAAGCTCCATTGTTACCCTTAAAGACATATGTTAAATACAGCATTTTGTCTCTTTTTAAAAAATATGCATACTTCACCAGCCATTTGATGATGATCCTGACAAAGAGAAGAAAATAAAAGAACTTGAGTTGCTACTTATGTCAGCTGAAAATGAAATCAGAAGAAAGAGAGTCTCATCTGTAAGAACTGCTTGAGTAAATGTGCTTTCTTATGGTGCAGTGATGAATAGCAGTGGAGCCCTTCTGGAGTACATAATGTGTATGAATGGCTTCATATTTCTAATTTTGTGATATGTGTCCTGCTTCCCTGTTCCTATGCATGGAAATTAAGGGGTATTGGTGAGAGAGATTCTCTTTTTCTTCCCTGGGCAAGTGGGACATGGGGGAAAGTATCTGATACAGAGTTTGGATAAAGTAATGTAGTACTTCCAACAGTTGCGTAACACTTAGAAGAAAGCATGTGTGTACTTATTGCTTTTCACAGCTTTCCTTTCTCTCAAAATCAAATTGGGGAGGACAAATGAAAGATTCAGGGGGGTAGGGGAAGATAAAGAGCTGCACGTACAACAGAACTGCAGTGCTCTCTCTGTCGCTAACTACGGTAGAATAATGAATAGCCTGTGTTTTCATCAAGGGACTCCGTTTTGTCTTGAAGATAATTTCAGAGGATAGCTGTGTTGGTCTGCAGTAGAACAGCTAGATTTGAATCCAGTATCACCTTATAGACCAAGACTTTTGGGGTATACGTTTTTGACAGTCAAAGCTCCCTTCATCAGATATTGGTTGGAATAGATATCTCTGCATTCTTATATCCCAGTTAGAGGGTGAGAGTGGTGTTGCAAAGAAAGTACAGTGTGCTCAGTGCTTTGATTGATCAGATCAGAGGGGAAATCTAGGGGATGGAGAATTAGCATTTGTGGTGAGATAATCCTATGTCCTTATTCAGCCTGGGGGGGATATCCTGAACTAGTGAATGAACCCAGGTTCAGCAGTCTTACATTGTAATCTCCCCTTGAAGTTTCTCTGTTTGAGGACTGTTACTCCTAGGTCAACAATGGAAGATTAAAATGTTCCTCCACTGGTTTTTTTAGTGTTGTGGTTTTTAATGTCAGATTTATGTCCATTTATTCTTTTGCGTAGGAACTGACCTCTTTGTCCAGTGTAGAGTGTGGAAGGGCATTGTTGACATTTTGATGACATATATGTATATAATGCCCAAAGATGAACAAGTGAATGAACCTGAAATGTTGGCTGGTGCTGTGTGATTGTGTAATCAGAGTGTATACGGGGACAGAGTTGGCATCTTGGTTTGTTGCAGGCCCTGGTCCCAGAGTCTGTGTCCATGTTATGAAGGACATTGTTATGGGTGAGAAGTTGTTAAAGATTAGGAGGCCATCTCTGGTCTAGAAAAGGTTTGCCTCCCATTGCCTATGAGAGAGGAGTATCATTGTCCAGCAAAGGTTGTAGGTCTTTAATGATGCATTGAACTGGTTTGAGCTGAGAGCTGTATGTGACCACCACTGGTGTTCTGTTGTTGTTTTGTTTGGGCCTATCTTGTAGAAGGTTATCCATTGGTATCATTCTGGCTTTGTCGATCCTGTTTCAGGTGGGTACTATAATTCCAGAAATGTCTGCTGTAGATCCTGCAGGTGAGAATCTCTGTCTGAGGGATCAGAACAGGTGCAGCTGTAGCACAGAGCTTGTCTGAAGACAATAGATTGTTTGGTGTGTTTAGGATGGTACCTAGAGGTGTGTAGATATGTCTGGCAATTCAGAAGGTTTCCAGTATAAGATGGGTTTTATGCAGATTGTGGATTGGTTCAGGGTCAGGTTGACTGGGGTGGAAGTTGCTGAAGGCCTGGTGGAATTTCTCCAGTGTTTCTTCCCTGTGTGTCCAAATAATGAAAATGTCATCAGTAAATCCCAGGTACAAGAGTGGTGTTAATGGATGTGAGCTGAGGAAGTGCTGTTCCAGGTCGGCCATAAAAATGCCAGGCAAGTACCCATGGCTGTGCCATTGATCTAAAGGAATAAATCCTCACCAAATCTAAAATAGTTGGGGGTGAGGATAAACTGGCAGAGTTTGGTAGCAAGGTCGGGCATCATATTGTCAGAGATAGTATTCGAAGTAACTCGTAGTCCATCCTTGTGGAGGGATGTTGGTGTACAGAGACTTAGCATCCATGGTGGCCAAAATAATGTTTCCTGGAAGACAGTTAACATATTATATTTTTCTCAGGTCATCTGTGGCGTCTCGCACATAACTGGAGACATTGATGGCATAGGATCTGGGAATAAGACCCCTTGTAACCAGATACTCGTATAGTGATGGTGCCTATGCCTGAGACAATAAGACGTCCTGGGTTGCCAGGCTTGAGTATTTTGGGCAGAAGATAGAAAATGCCTGTTGAGGTTCTTGTAGTGTGTCCATATAGATCCGTTCTTTTATGTGTGTTGGTAATTCTTTTATAATGTTTTGGTATTCCTCAGTGGGGTCTGTGGATAGTCATTTGCAGAAAGTGGTATCAGCGAGTTGTCCTTTGGTTTCCTGAATGTAGTCTGATTTGTCCATGAGGACAACTGCTCCTTTTTTGTCAGCTTCGTTAATAATGATGTCTGGATTGTTTTTGAGGCTGTTTATTGCATGTCTTTCAGCTTGGGTGAGGTTGTATTGTGAGATATGATGTTGCTTGATCGCATCAGTTTGAGCTTGGTGGCAAAAACATTCTATATAGAGATCTAGTGTGACATTGATGCCCTTGGAGGGTCCTTTTTCCTGTAGCACTGGGTGGGTGGTGAATGGTGGTCCATGTGTTGTCTGATGGTGTGTGGGAGAGATGGCAGCTGTTCAGTAGTAGATTGTGAAAGCCGTGTTATGAAGATGTTGCCCATGTTCTGTTGATGAAAGTACTGCTTCCAACTCGGGCAGCAAAAAAGACCTCCAGGTTACCAAAGAACTAAGTGAATTTAGTGGGGCATCTCACTATGGATGCTAATTTTCTGTCCCTCTGCATTTCTCCTCTGCTCTAATCAAGCTAATCACTATGCACATTGTACCTCTGCATCCAGAGTTCCTTCTTTGCAGCACCCCTCCCGCTTTCTGATTGGGATATAAGGACTCAGAGATCTCCATTCCAACTTGTATCTGACAAAGGGAGCTTTGACTCTTAAAAGTGTATACCCTAAAATATTGTTGGTTTCTACTAAACTCAAATCTAGCTGTTTTGTCTTGGGGTCCCAAAGATGTGGTTGGATTGTCACCTGCTTTCAAATTAGGCAGAGCCTAGAAGATACTTCTGCATCTACATTTGTTTGGGCTGATTTGTATTCAGTTTCTCCAGAAGTTTATTTTCTGTGGATTCCAGGAACCTTTGTTAAGATATTGCTGTATATTTCACATGGCCAAGCAATCACATAATAGCTGTTGTTGATAAGTGTGTTTTTGTGACTTAGCCCTGAGATTTAGAAGGGCAGAGTTAATGGTGCTAAGAACAATAATTTGTATTAATTAAATTTGATGAGTTATGAAGTCTTTTCCTGGTTTGATTAGGGTTGCCAATTCTGGAGATTTTGGGAGGTGGAGTCTGGAAAGGGAGGGACCTCAGTGGGGTATAATGCCATAGTGTTCACCTTCTAAAGCAGCCGTTTTCTCCAGGGGAACTAATCTCTGTAACCTGGAAACCAGGTGTAATTCTAGGAGATCTCCAGCCATTACCTGGAGACTGGCAGCCTAAACTTTATAGAATCCCAACTTGTGTAGAGCACAGGGAAAACAAAACAGTTGTCAATCGGAGTAGTTGTCTAACCAGTCACAGGAAGTAGAACGCCCACTTTATTTATTGATGGTTTTTGTCCACATACTTTTAATCCTTAACAGTTTATTGTTCATGTTTAATTTCAATAAAACAGCAATACCTTTTTTGTATTCTTAGCAAGCTGGAAATTTTTCTAGCTGGTCTGGAAGCTTCATTATGGAAGATATGTCAAATACCCTGAATAACCTTGGGGAACAAGCAAATGACTTTTACGCTATAGAAGAAACCCAAGCTGCAGGAGTTCAGCAGAACTCTCCGACCAAATATCTAGCTGTGGAGGCAAATGCAGTTTTATCTTCTCTACAAACCATTCCTGAATTTGCAGAGACACTAGAACTCATTGAATCTGTAAGTCTCAAGAATCTTGTTTCCAGTGCTTAATTAACACTGTTGTTTTACTTCAGAGTAGGCAACATGAGAAATTTACAATTATTATACTGGTAGGTATATTAGTTCCCTAACATAGATGGCTCAGGCTAGCCTGATCTTGGAAGCTAAGCAGGGTTGGCTGTGGTTAGTACTTAGATGGGAGACTGCCAAAGAAGTCCAGGGTTGCTATGCACTGGTAGGCAATGGCAAAACACCTCTATTTGTCTTGTGCCTTGAAAACCCTAGCAGGTCACCATAAGTCAGCTGTGACTTGACAGCACTTTACACACAAACCTAGGCCCTGACCTGGATAGCTCAGGCTAGCCCGATCCTGACAGATCTCAGAAGCTAAGCAGGGTTTGCCTTGACTAGTATTTGGATGGGCGACCTCCAAGGAATACTGGGGTCGTGATGCAAAGGTAAGCAGTGACAAACCACCTCTGAAATGTATCTTGCCTTTAGCTCACCATCTAGTGGTGCATAACAGTAAAGCTCACCATCTAGTGGTACATAACAGTAAAGAGCTAGAACTTCTGGCTGCCAGACAATCTTAGGATTTCCTGGCTATTCTATGCACAATCCCATATGATAATAATTATTAATTATTAATACACACACCTATATTAGCATTAGCATCATATACAGTGTTTGCTATCATATACAGCTAGCTCTTCGTAGTTGAGAATTAACTAAAATTCTAAAATAACATTTGAGAAAATGTTATTGAAAGTGCGATCCTAAACAAGAAGAATGGCTAGAGAAGATGTTTGACCTTGTCGTTATGGCTAAATTTATAGTATTGGTCACAGAAAAGATAATTATTTCACTTACTAGAGATTGGCCTTTTGCATGAAAAAGATAAGGATGGCTTGATGGTTTGTGGTTTTTCTGAGTAAGAAATTTGCTTAAGGGGAAACAAAAAGAAAGTGAGTTCTTGTTTTTATATATAAGCAAGGAAAACATTGTAATCAGAAGCATATTTATTGTAGAGAAAATTGGAAGCCTTTTATGTCCTCTCCCCTTTTTCTTTTCCTTTCGTTTTCTTTTTTTTCTTGTGTATGGTTTCAATTTTTCTTTTTTTCCTGTATGTTTCCTACTTCTTATTCATTTAATAAAATTAAAACTTCTACATGATAGTGCAATCCTAAACTAAGAGAGCTTTAACTCTTGAAAGCTTATACTCTGAGAATCTTGTTGTGTCTAAGGTGCTGCTGGACTCAAATCTAGCTATTGTAAAACTAGTAAAACGTGTATTGGGACAGAAGTTAAATTTTTCACTTCCTGCTAGAATGAAGATGTACAGTAACATGGCTGATAACTGATTTCAGCCTGCCCATTATTTCCGGTTGAAATCATGATTTCTTTCAACAACAGAGCAGCAGATGATTATTTTCTCTCTCTATGTGACTTGGATATCATAGGATCCTGTAGCATGGAGTGATGTCACCAGTTTTGACCTTTCCGATGCAGCTACTTCCCCTGTCAATCAAGCACCAGTAAAACAGATGCAGATTCAACACAGTGATGGGGCCATGGAGTGCCAATTCAATGTCAGTGTTGTTCTTGATGGCAAGAAAACAAGTGATGAAGAGGCAACTGTGTCAGCATCCCCAAGTGTAACCAAGTTCAGCACTCCCCCTACCATTTTGCGGAAGAAGAAGAAACCTAGATCTGGACAGTCACCAGTCGGTGAACAGAATGATGGCTCATGTAGCAGTGCTGCCAATATTGCACTAAAGCAAACACCAGTGAAAACACTACCATTTTCTCCCTCCCAGGTAAGCACAAATCAATCATTATATCTAATTTTCAGCATAGCCCCCTCTGTGGATACTTAAATTCAGAAATTGGGACCATGAACAAACAAGGCAGACCCTTCTACAAGCCCCAGGTCTGCAGAAAAATCTGGAAAAAATACATGGGGGGGTTAACCCCCCTCATGGTAGAAGTAGCACCTGTAGCTTTAAGAAATGAATACCTTCTGAGAACTCAGTGGTTATTGTGGACATTGCTAAATGATCACAATAGTATTGCCAGCCTTCAAGTCTTAGTTTTTGTAAGTAAAAGGCAGAGGGAGGGGCAGAGTCCTTTCCAGAGCTGTTTTTGCCTCATGGCAACCCCTGCTTCTCTCACCTCCTGCCCTGGACAAAGGACTCATCAGGGCCATACCTGGCAGCAGTCACTGAGAAACTATCTACCACATGACTTGTATGACTTTCCAAAGCCAAGCAGTTACCTGGTGATTAACTACTTTTTGAAAGTAGCTACCACATGGAAGCCAGTGTCGTAGAACGGTAAGAGTGTCAGACTAAGATTTAGGAGACCCAGGTTCAAATGCCCACTCTGCCATGAATGCATAACAATAGACGTGTCACTCACTGTCAGCATAACCTACCTCACAGGATTGTTGTGAGGATAAAATGGAGGAGAGGAGAACTGTATAAGCTGCTTTAGGTCTCCACTGGAGAGAAATGTGGGGTATAAATTAAATAAATAAAACATAAAGCTGAAGACTGAGGTGTAGAGAAAGTTAGTGGGTGGGAAGAAAAGGAAGCAGAAGATACAGGGGCTGCCAGGGACAGGAAAAAAAAAATAGTGTGGGGAAAATGAAGTGATCTTTGCAAGTCCTTGTGGGTTCCCCACTTTTATTAACTTAATAATAAACTTGTTTGTCTTAGTTGGATAGATAGCCTTTGTGCCCTCCACTGAAAATTAGTTCAGTGCAGACTGATTCCACTGTGATTGGGAAGTTATTAAGCCTGGTGTTTTCCTCATTCTGTCTGGTGGATTGAGTCTTTCCTACCTAAGATATTTGTGCTCCCCTCCCTATGAAGATTTCGAATTGACTCATGGCACAAAGGACCAGATCGCTGTGCTTTTGTACAGTTTTGTTTCCAGTCTCTAGTCCTGCTGACTTCAGAGAAAAGAACAGAAAATATGGGAATGATTCTTTAAAGTTGCACATATACAATCATTTAAAGGTGTAATTTGCTGGGATGAACTGCTTTTATCATTGCTCTCATAAATGTGTCTCCCACAAGTGTGTGTGTGTGTGTGTATAAAACAGAAAAAAATAGAAAAATGAAGGCTGTATTGTCAGATTTAGTGCATTTACTGTGAAATGGATAAGAGGAAACTATTGCTTGACTTGCATAGAGCAATTCATGTTCTTGTCTTCTGTGCAGTTCTTTAACACCTGTTCTGGAAATGAGCAGTTTAACCTTGAAAATCCTGCATTTACATCAACTCCAGTCTGTGGACAGAAAGTTCTTACTACAACTCCCTTTCATAATAAAGAAGTGACGCCCAAAGATCAAAAAGAAAATGCAGGGTAGGTCGATATTAAATATTTGATCTAGAATGCCTGGGTTTGTTTGTTTTTTAAAGAGAAAACAAATAGAGCTGTATTTAAAAAAAACAACCTGCAGCTATAGCACAAGGGCAAAGTAGGTTCACTCTCCCAAGAAACCTTTTCCCCCAAATCATTGGTTTTTAATAAAGTAACATAAGATGCAAACATCTTTTGGCTCTTCAATAGTTTTAGGACGCCTACTATTAGAAGATCTCTTCTGGGTACAACACCAAGGACTCCAACTCCATTTAAGAATGCTTTAGCTGCTCAGGAAAAAAAATACGGTCCTCTGAAAATTGTGGTACGTAGCATTTTGGTCTGTATTTTCCTTGCAGTAAGCTCAGAGTTAATTCAGTGGTAAAAATGCACAGCAATAGAAGAAATACTGCTAAGATGTAAGCATGGTCTATGCAGTTTGCTTCAAACTAGTTATGCCTGCTTCATATTCCTAATTTTAAATTGAGTTTAGGGGCTTGATGGCAAATTTCCCTACTTCTCTCTGTGTGTACATACATGTACAGAAGTTCAAAATGCAGATCTGCTTATAATGTTGTATAATATGTACCTATAAAAGTCTTGTACAGACATTTATTTTTAGTGTCACATTTCTCCCACATTGCGCTACCTGGAACTAGAATAAAATATGCTTTAAAGTGGCATAAACTGGACTCTGACCTTTACAGAAAATTATTGTTCTCTGGGAGCTTTGACTGCAGAATGGAGGAAGAGCTTGTATAAATCCTTAACATTCTTTAGGGTGTTGAAAAATTTGAATCGCCATATGTGGTTATAAAGATGTGTTAAATATCTTAATCTATAAAGATGTTGTTCATTCCTGTTATAGAAAGTAAAAATGAGCATAGGGACATGAAACTATCATTTTGAATTTACATCTTCTGCCTTTTTTATTTAGTCACAGCCACTTGCTTATTTGGAAGAAGATATTAGAGAAGTTTTAAAGGAGGAAACTGGAACAGATATATTCTTTAAAGAAGAGGAGGAATCTGTCTGTAAGGGCTCCAAACAAGAGGTAAATTATCCTACATGACATGTTTGGAGTGACAAGAACAATGGAAACAATTTTAATACATTCTTTGTCTTTAAAATATTGGCCACAGAACCCTTCTGCAAAGAAAGTCAGGAAGTCCTTAGTCTTGGATCCTTGGGAGAAAGAAGAGCTTGGTGCCCAGCTTTTTACAGAGGACAATATTTTAGATGTGCAGGTGAGTGTGATTAGTATGATGCATAAGATGCAAATATTTGAAGAAATTAGAAACCTGGAGCTGATGGCAGCTTGATTGGGGCCACTGTTTAGCATCTGAAGCTAAAACAGTACAAGTTCTGTTACACAGTGCTTGATTATTCAGATCTCTCCATTAGCCAGCATCACCCAGGGGGCAAGCTCCTTGTCATCCATAAAGTGCACGCACCCCCCTCCTGCTTCTCCAGCCAGCCAGCTTTATGCCTCTGGCTGTTACAGGGCTTCTGAAGGCTGGTGCTGCCAGCTCACATCATCCTTGAATGCCTCCTCCTCCCTCAGCCTGCATCGAAAGGGCTCCTGGGCAGCTGGCTTGCTTGTCTGCTGCATGGGATGGCTCCCTGGCTTGGGGGGAAGGGGAGGAGTCCCATTAGCTGTCACTGTGGCATTCCCTGTGGGGTTTGATCACTGCAGATTCCTCTAGGTAGGAAATGAGGCTGAGCTTGAGTATCCAGCACATTTAATTAATTCCCCAATGGGAGCAGGATAAAAAGCTCTTACTGTACTGACTGTAATAATGTGTTGCTGTAGGACAAATGTTTGGCTTTTGTTCATACGGATTGTATGTATGTTGTGTTCTAGAGGTTTCAGGGAGATGCCTAACTCATTTTAAGTTATGATTCTCGGAGTTAAAATGACTTCTGCCCCACTGGAATCATATTGTCGAAATCTGATTAATTCAAAGATCATCAGCTTAAAAAGGATGTTAATTAGATGCTTATGAAGTTGCTACAAACGTGCTAGGTACAAATCTTCTAGATGTTATTACATCCAGTATTTTAACTACATCAGCTGTCTGTTCTTAAACTACTACGTCACAGGTTATTTTATTACATGTTTATCTTTGCTATATAGTCAGAAAATATCTATACTACATCACTCCTCATGATTCCATTACTGGAAATACATGACAACAGGGGAAACCTGACTCCAGAGAAACAGGATTCCAGCTCAGCAAAGATGAATGCAGCAGTGAAAAAAAAGCTAAATACTTGCACTTCAAAAAATGTCAAAACAGAAAAGATGCTTCAGGTCTGTATTCAGGTTACTTGGTATTCTGTTCTGTTTAGTTTGACTGTTAAGTATTCTTTGAAAATACATTTTTTAAAATAGCAACCATTTCCTGCTTGTGCTATGCATCTCACAATGTTCTGGATAGTAAAGAAGAATGGAAAGTTCTTGCATAGTTTCTGTAACTTGGAAGCCAGAACAGCCCTGGAAAAACTCCCGTTCCCTCCCCTGTCATGTCCCCTGATGTCTGTGGCCACTGCACAACTGGGCCTAACTTTTCCTGGTGAGAAGCTGCCAGGGGAAGGAAAGGAGGAAGGAAAGCTGAAGACAAGGTTGGTTGACTAATGGGTGGGAAGGAGAGAAGGAAGTAGGAAAGGAGGAGAGGCTATAAGGTCTGCCAGGGAAAGGAAACAGGAAATAGTGGGGCAGGGGAATAGAGAAGGAAATGAGATGCTCCCTCAAGTACCTGCAGGTCCCCTACTTGTATGTGTCTATTTCTATAGATGTGTCTTTTTAGT